GCTTTGCTGAAAACAATAGTTCAACATATCATCAACAGTTGTAGTTGTCAATATTACTGTTATATTTTGAAACCTTTGCATTTATATATTTTCATAACATATCATCAATAGTCGTGACATGCTTCTATATTTTAAAATGAATATTGTCATTTTTTTCCTTGTAACATGTTATTTCTTCTATTTTCTTAGGTTTCATGATACTCACTATTATGTGAGGTCTATAATCTTTTTGTATTGTTATAAAGTGATTAGATTGGTTGTAAAATATTTAATGAGTAGACATTGTAATTTTATTAAGAACATTACAATTTCTGCGTGTCAGATTGTTCATTTTCCTAAAAAAATCTACAAATCAGTTACAAAACGCGTAAATCAAACAACTAAACAATTTATCCAAAACAGGGGCAAAATGTTCATTTATCCAGAATCAGCTGTTTTCCAAACGCATAAACCAAATAGTCATATAGCTTACTCGGATTAGTTGTTTATCAGGATAAGTAGCTTATCAGGATAAACTAGATAAGCTGCAGCTGCCCCAAACAGACCCTAACTCTTTGATGGAGTTTAGAAGCATGAAAAAAATATTTAACAATATCGATATAACCCAAGCCCATAATATGCCAATTATATTTAAATAACTTTGAAATAAAATCATCTGGCCCAATCGCCTTATCCAAACCTATAGAGAAAAAAAACATATTTAGGGTCTGTTTGGGGCAGCTGCAGCTTATCCAGTTTATCCAGATAAGTAATTTATCATGATAAGCTGTTGATCAACATCTTATCCAAATAAGCTAGCTAGCTGTTTGGTTTGTGTGTTTGAAGAACAGCTAATTTTCAGTTGTTTTTGGATAAATGATCATTCTGCCCCTGATCTGGATAAACATAAATTCTCTCTGTGACGCATTACAATAAGATTTTCCACAGCTCCACCGGGGCTAACGAAACTCCTTTTTACAATAAGCTTTTTCAACATGAGAAATTCATTGTACCTTTCCTGAGCTCTTTTACTGACCCAATTCTTCCTATTGAATGTTCCTTTGCCCTTAACCCCTTTTATTTTAGGAGTCATTACAAATCTACATAAAATCAAATGAAAGAAGAAATCAACCTAAATGTAGGTTGTATATGACTCTAAATGCAGCATTAATGCTAACTAAAATCTCTCCATGGATTTTTGCTTCTTCTCCACTGTTTTCAAAAAAATCCAGAAATCTTCACCAATACAGAAGAAATCCATGGCTAAAAGAGAAAATCACAAAGCTTAGGGTTGAGTTTTACCTGGAGAAGACGAGTTCTACTTGTTTCAAGCCTTAGAAAGCAAGCACAAGCCAAGAAGAAGAAACCCAAGGGAGCCTTTTCCAAGCCTTGTGAACGATCGGGGAAGAAGAAGAGGGCGTTTCGCACGAAATAAAATGAGCTGGGCCTGGTTTTCGCGATTTAGAGCGAGCTCGGCGCACCTAGAGCAGGAGGACGCGATCGAATGAAGCGCGGAAGGAGGAGCTCGGCGCAGCTAGAACAGGGAGCGATCGAATGGAGCGAGGCTGGCAGAGGCGATCGATTGGAGCGAGGGCAAAGACGGATACAATTCGATCAAACGCGGCCCACATCTATCCTTCAGAAATTTAAAACACCGGATTCTGATAGAGGCGTTTTGAAAACCTTCCCGCACTTATAAACTGTTTCAACCGGGCCCTTGATCTCATTTTCTAAAAAGACTTCAATAAGAGCAATACTGTCAACATTTGAAACATAAGTCTTAATAGAAAAAATATGTTGATAATGAAAAAAAATCATTGTAATGATTATCAAGCAAACTAGAATAATGATAGATAACTTCATTAATAATGCATTTTAATGACAACTATAATCATTAGTATCCAAAATTTCTTTAATCAATTTAGAATTATGCCTACATTTGACTTTTTGATGAAGAAATTTAACATTATCTTCACTTTTGAAAAGTCAATATAACCCTTTTTCTTTGTCCATTTAAAATCATAAATAAAAGGCTTCATAATATCATCCTGTAAAAAAATTAAAGCTTGAGTAAGATCCTTACAGATATGAAAATTCTAAAGCTAACACATCACAACTTATTTTTTTGTTCTTAAAATCATTAATATGATTGGAAAGAGTAGTCGAAAAATACCAATTCCAACATTTCAAAACATTTTTGACATTTTGAAGTTTGTACATGAAGAAAAAAAAGTATCACCCTTAACAGGATGACTCCAAACATTATTGACAATAAAGAAAAAATTCAGACATAGTATGCAAAATTTTTTGTGCATATATCAGCTAAGAATTACTTTAGGCCCACCCAAACAAACAAAAACAAGATGATGATATAAAAGAAAGATGATACATAACATTAAAGAATAAATGAGATAAAATTTTAATTCAAGTTGTATTACACAAAGCCCTGTCCAATAAACATCTAATGAAATTATTTAGCTGGCTATTTTACTAACTGTAAGAAGAACAAGTGTTTTATAGTTCAACAAGACCAACTGAAATGATATAGTTATTGAAATCATTAAGCTTATAAGGAATGTGGGGATTATCCCTAATATTTTTTTCTTCAATTTTACATATACAGTTGAAATCCCCTAACAAAATGTAAGGCTCAGTCATATTCATCCCAATAAAGTTAATGCAATTCCATAGATTCTTTCTAACCAAGGCAATGTTATCGACATTGACAATAGTATTAAAACAATTAATAGAAGAAAAATATGAAATATGTCCATGAATGCATGGAGAACTCATATTAAAGCAAAAAAATGTAAAATGTTAGGATTCCACTTAACCCAAATTTTACAATTATCAGGTATATTAAATTTATTAATGCTAAACTCTTTAGGAAAAAACAAAAAACTTAAAATGATTTAAAGATATCAGGCCAGAGAGAGGAAAAAGAGAGTTTAGTTTTTCAAAAGACGTAAGTGGTCAACCTTATTATCTTTAAATAACTTATTACAATCAGCAATACATGCTTCATTATTGAGCCCCCTAACATTTCAAACAATAATATTAGGTTATATCATTAAAAAAAAAAGAAAGAAACATAAAGAAAAAAATAAAATAAAATAAGTACTGAGAGTTTCCTTTTTTCTTGCCCTTCTTATTTCCTAAAGGAACGGGCTGAGAAAAAACCATGAAAATTCTTAATAAGGGCCACATTTGAAGATTAACCATTTAAAGATTGACCAACCATAGTGCTCATAGAAATATACATATTATTTTCTAGAGGAATTAAAAAATTATTCTTCACATAAGAAGAATTGACACTAACATCACCTTTCGACAAAACCGATGAAACTTCATCAACTTCACTAACATCAATAAATAATTCATTATTATTTCAAGAAATATCAGCAGAGACATTAAGATCAAGAAGTAGGAGGAATAACAGTGTTAACATAAATAATTCTAGAAGCAGGTAAAATAGATAAGTCACGTAAAACATAATTACTTCTACTTCTATAAATTTTTTTGCATGGAATTATTTCTATTTTTACTAATACCTCTAAAAGTAGGAAAAATGGCAACAGGGGTATGAGAAGCGGTTTTAGGGTAATTCAAAATATAATGAGTAATAATAAAGCAAGAATTGCAATGATTAGGTTTCCACTCATATGTCACATATTCAACCATGTTCTGCCCTTTAACATTTAAAGTGATATATTCAAGAAGAGGGAAATCAATATTAATATATATATTAACTCCAACGAAAGTTAACCTAGACCTTTTCGCAGTGAGTGGGTCAATAGTAAGGAGGCCTCTAATCTTACTAGCAATATTGGATATGTCAGTTTCAGACCAACAACATAGAAGGAGATTAGGAAGCTCAACCCTTATAGAATCATCTTTAAAATCCTCTTCAACATGTCTAAAATTATGAGTCCATTTGTTAAAAGTAAAATGTTTATCGTTGTTAAACTAAGGACCATTGAATGAAAAAACATATCAAGATCATCAATGCAATTTAGTTTTAGAAAAAAAAAAACCTTAGTGAGAGAAATAAAGTCTACATCAACTTTTAACTTACATATTTTACAAATGATTGTCTACCCAGAGCATAACTCACGGGTGCAAGATTTCATTATTTTGAGCCTTTTGCAATCTCTTCATCAGAGCTCAACAATCTTAAGAGCTCTCTTCTCTCATTCATATTTGAAATATGTCAAAATTCTATTTAATTTTCTATATAAAAGTGTTGGCTAGGGTTTATGCTCTTCGAGGGGAGAAATTATTACATACGGAGCACTTTATCCAGCTCTGCATGCGAACTTCCAGTAATATGCCGTCACATGGGTGTTTTTGGAAGGTTATTGAAGTGAAACCGCAGAGATTTTTGATGAGTTATTGAGGTGTTATTATGATTTTATTGCGAGGGTTATGCAAGGGTGGAGATTATTGAAGGGTTATTTATTATGAGCTTATTGCGGAGTGTAATCACATAGATTATTGAGAGTGTAACAACGAAGATTATTAAGAGATTGTTGTGACGTTATTAGAGTCAATACTCTAATAATTCTCTAATTACCTCCGATTACCCCCCTGCATAGTCTCTAGTTTCACTTTAATAATCTCCGCCGGAGACAGGCCAGCGTTTAGGGTTTAGGGCCTATTACTGCACACATGAAGGCGCATGTTATTAGAGTAATTTCTCCTGAGAGGGGCCGTCGCACCGCTTAACATGGCTTGGTGGAAAACTTGCTCAAACCCCCTCAAGAGCTTCGAAGTTCCTTCAGCCGGCGACTATGGCGGTGTACAGAGCCCGTCTGTTCATCTCCCACAGTCCGGCTTTCCGTTACGCGGCCGCCTTTGGAAATCAAGATTGCGGCGCTGAAGTACCATCGATGGCTTCCACTGCTTTGGCTCGGCCATGGAGATTCCCGATGCCACGCCATTTTTCAACGAAGGTCTTGTCATATGATCGGCGAAGCGAACCTTTTTCGTCTTTTCCATTGGTTAAAGGCACAAACTGTAACTCAGAGAACCTCCATCGATGTTTCTCTACGGATAACCACTTTCAGTCGATAGGCGGCATGGCTAGTTCTAGGGCTGATTTAAGGAATAACGTGGAGGAAATTTGCAGAGTTCTTGATCGCAGCTCCCTGGGATCTGAATCCGAGAACGCTCTTTCCGCAATCGATCCCAAACCTAGTCCAGAAATCGTCATTGGGGTTCTAAGAAGGCTACAAAATTTTCGTTCCGCAATGAATTTTTTTCGATGGTCAGAGAAAGCTAAGGGAGAGCCACATAGTGTGGAGGTTTATAACTCACTTCTCTTATCAATGGCCAACCATAGAAATTATGAATTTATGGAGAAGATTTTCGAGGAGATGAGCCTCCTTGGATTTGGGCCATCACCAAATGCTTGCTTGGAGCTTGTAGCTAATTTGATGAAGGCAGGAAAGCTCAGGGAAGGCGTGGATGTGATTGAGAAAATGCGTAAATATAAATTTCGTCCAGCTTTTTCAGCATACGTAATTTTGATCGGCGCCCTTGCCGATTCTCATGAAGCTGATATGGCTCTTGGTTTGTTTCATCAAATGCAGGAGGTGGGCTATGAAGTGAATGTTCCATTGTTTACCACTTTGGTTCGGGTCTGTGCGAAGGATGGCCGACTTGATACAGCTTTATCATTACTGGATGAGATGAAGAGCCACTCATTTGATGCAGATATTGTTCTGTATAATGTCTGTATTGACTGTTTTGGCAAGGAAGGTAAGATAGAGATGGCATGGAAGTTCCTCCATGAGATGAAGGCCCAAGGAATTGAGCCAGACGATGTAACTTATACCAGCATGCTTGGTGTTCTTTGCAAGGCAAATAGGCTAAATGAGGCGATTGAATTGTTTGAGCAAATGGAGCTTGGGAGAAAAGTTCCATGCGCTTATGCCTATAACACAATGATATTGGGCTATGGCTCAGCAGGTAGGTTTGATGAGGCTTACCAGTTACTGGAGAGGCTTAGAGAGAAAGGATGTATTCCTAGTGTTGTTTCTTATAATTCCATCTTAACATGCCTTAAAAAAAGGAGGATGGCTGATGAGGCTCTGAGGGTTTTTGATGAAATGAAGAAAGATGCAGAGCCTAATGTCGCCACGTATAATCTCATGATTGACATTCTTTGCATGGCAGGAAAGGTTGAAGATGCTTTTAAAGTTAGGGAAATCATGGAAGCTGTTGGATTGTTTCCTAATATTCTTACTGTCAATTTATTGGTTGATAGGTTGTGTAAAGTTCATAGAGTTGATGAGGCCTTCCACATATTTGAAAGTGGAAAACAAAAGGGTTGCGGTCCGGACAGCGTTACATATTGTTCTCTGATTGATGGCTTGGGAAGGAATGGTAGGGTCGATGAGGCATATGACTTTTTTGAGAAGATGTTGGATGCAGGACATGTCCCAAATGCTGTTGTTTATACTTCCCTCATTAAGAACTTCTTCAAACATAGGAGAAAGGAGGACGGGCATAAGATGTACAAGGAGATGAGGCGTAGAGGTTGCCATCCTGATCTTACACTTTTGAACACTTACATGGACTGTGTTTTTAAAGCAGGTGAAGCCTTAAAAGGTAGACAAGTATTTGAGGAGATAACTACTTGTGGATTGTTCCCTGACGTGACAAGCTATTCTATATTGATCAGTGGTCTGACAAAGGCCGGTCATGCACGGGAGACCTACAAGCTGTTTTATGACATGAAGGAACGTGGTCTTAAGCTGGACACTCTTGCTTATAACACTGTCATTGACGGGTTTTGTAAGTCTGGTAAGGTGGACAAAGCTTATCAACTTCTGGAGGAGATGAAAGAAAAGGGTAGCTCTCCAACTGAAGTTACCTATGGATCTGTTATTGACGGGCTTGCAAAGATTGATAGGCTAGATGAAGCTTATATGCTATTTGAAGAAGCAAAATCAAAGGGAGTTAAGGTGAATGTTATTATGTATAGCAGTCTTATTGATGGCTTTGGAAAGGTGGGTAGGATTGATGAAGCATATCTAATCATGGAAGAAATGATGCAAACAGGTTTAACTCCTAATGTGTACACATGGAATTGTTTGCTCGATGCTCTTGTGAAAGCTGAGGAGATTAATGAAGCTCTAGTCTGCTTTCAGTCGATGAAGGACATGAAATGTGCACCGAACACCTTCACCTATAGTATCCTTATAAATGGTCTTTGCAAAGTGCAGAAATACAACAAAGCATTCGTCTTTTGGCAAGAAATGCAGAAGAAGGGGCTCATTCCTAGTGTGGTCACCTATACCACCATGATGTCGGGGCTTGCGAAGGTGGGGAACATAACGGAGGCTGGTAAGCTTTTCGAGAAATTTAAGGCAAATGGTGGCGTGCCCGACTCTGTTTGTTACAATACTCTTATAGAAGGCATGAGCAACGCTAATAGGGCAATGGAAGCATATAGGGTTTTTGATGAAACTCGGTTAAGGGGCTGTAAGATTAATGCCAAGACTTGTATTGTTCTTCTCGACGCATTGCACAAGGCTGAGTTCCTCGAACAGGCTGCAATTGTAGGTACCGTTCTGAGAGAGATGGCGAAGTCTCAACACGCTGCTCGATCATTGTAGCATGTGGTGATTATTTGAACCAAACTCCTCAACATAGAGGGACTTAGCCTTGGTGGATGAATTGAATCTGCTCGTGTTTTATAAGCTCTGCTGTAGTTGCGCTTCATGGAGGATTTGTATTGCAATTTTTTTGTGAAAGAGAGTTTATGTTTGGCATTGGAAGAGGTTGATCTGATGCTGAAGTTAAGATAAAGTATCCTCAACTCAGAGGTATAAAAATTTATTCTCCCCATTCTTATCTTTTCTTCTCAATGATTTTCCTTTTGTGCAAATTTGATGGATCAGTAGTTAAGAACTCATAATGTACAGTTAATCTAATATTTTTTGTTTGCTGAATAAAGTTAATGGCATGTAGAGGTTTATCATAGCTGTGCCATATTGGTTGTAGGATGAGGATCTTTAATTAAGCGATTTGATCAACCAGGCATGGTGCTTCAAACAACTCAGAAAATATAAGTTTTGTCAGAGTATGAAGATTTCTGCTTTCTTGTACAATGTGTCCATGCCCCACATGCAAGCAAATTTTACGATGTAAAACTATAATTTATGCTATGTAAAATGTTCCTTTATACAATGTGATACCTAGTCTCCAAATGGGTGTTGTCAAGAAGTTATATTTCTTCTTTGACGCTTAAAATGGTTGCACAACTGAAAATAATATTTTATTCAATTGAAAGTACTTCACGGTGACCTTGATGCATGATGATCGTTAAAGAAATATAAAAGGATAATGAATAAGATAGAAACACGGATTAAAATGATGAGGACATACTAATAAAAGTAGTAAAGCAAACAAGCATTACTCTTTAATACGGATATTAACTCTTTTAGAAGATTTAAGTCATGTCGTTGATCAGTGATTAAAATTAAAGTTGGTCAAGGAGAAGGATCACATTTGAAATTAAGAATCTTTTTATGATAACTTGTCATAGCTATCAAAATGCTAAAAACTTAAGGACATGGACTAAAGCAATCCTGACAAAATGATAAAAATAGCTATAGTATCCATTACCCGGAAGAAAAAAAAACTCTTTTTTTTAGGATAGTGACATTGCTGGAGCATTTTCGTATGCCGGGTGAATTATCAATCACATCATGCTTAGAAATATTTTCCCAGTTGGTGTATTAACTTCAGATTAGGTAGATTTATCAATTTAGATTGCTACATTGGAGAATGCCTAATTTTGTTTCATGCATGTACCTTAAATGTTTTTTTTTAATTTTGTTGATTAGTTTAATTTAGGCGATCATAAGTACATGGACTATAAAAATCATCATGATTCTTTTTCAAGCTTCTTTGAGGTATTGCTTAGTTTTGTTTTTCTTTATCATTCCAGTTTTGGCATCTTTGATCACCTATCACAAACCTTGAAAAATAATGATTTAAAGTAGTCATAAAACAACTTTTTACTACACTTTTATATTACCAATAACTTCTAGCTACTTCAAATCTTATATCATCTTCCTCTATTTACGCTCCCTTACCTTCACTCCCAACAAACCCCACTTATGACCAACGTTGATCTCTTCAGCCTTAGCTCTCTTTCCCACTTTGGTATCTCTTCCACAACCATTTTCACTACTGATGATCTCCATTGTGCTTGCATCCTCTTTCTCCAAACCACTATTTATGCTCTTAAGTGCTAGTCTATGCTGGTTGCTAAAATCCAGTTACTGGATGCAAAATTTACCTTGATGCTACCAACAACATCCAATACTAGTTTTGTGGCACATTTTTCACTATTAAGAAGGTGGGCATCATCGCAATCTCTTCCCGCTCCAACACTGACCATTAATTGTTTACTACAATGTCTTGATCTCACACTTAGGGGCCATTTGGCTGAGTGAATTTATGGCGTACTGTAATTCTTTTGTAAGGAATTGAGAAAATTATATGTTTGGTACGAAGAATTACAAATACAATGTAAAGGATGAATAAATTTGAAGTTTACACCATAGTTCATTTTAGTTTAATTTAGAATTCGATCAATTTGGCCAAATTTGAATGACAACATTCATTAAAATATAAAAGTCTATCAGCAAGCCGCAACCTGCCATTGCCGCCATCGCTAGTTTGCCGTCACTGCTTGCCTGTTGCCGCCACCGCAATTGCCATTCCACTTTTAACCGTCGCCGCATGCTCTGAGCCGCGACAGGCCCTCACCGCTCGCTGCCCGCTCTGCGCCACCGCCGGTCACCCCCCGCCATTGTCGGCTGTTGTCAGCCCCTAGCCCCCCGCTACTGTCAGACAAAAAATAATTTTTGAAATGCATTATTTTCAATCTTCTTCAAATCAAGCAAAATAAAAATAAAGTCATGTGTTTATTTTACAATGAACTAAATAACTTTAAAGTATTTTAAATACATTGTAATTATAGTACTTTGTAAATCTTTTACAGTGCATTTCATTTTAAGCAAACCAAACGACCCCTTAATGCAAATCGTTGCATGGATGATGTTGACTCAAACAAATTAGCTCTCCACAACCTCACCATTCTTTGCTTCACAAGGTTGATGCCAACGATTGATATTGAATATCGATGGGTTGCAAGATTGATGGGATGTTAGATCGATTCTAGAGTGGAAGTGGGGTATGCAAACAACAATGATCAGAACATGAATTGATGGAGGAAGGGGATGAGGGAAAGAATGCTTCCTCGTCTGATCTTAAATCTACACCTAAAAAAGATAAATGCCATTCTTCTCCTAATTTTCTTGTGGTTGGATTTTAAATTATTTTAATTGTTAATATTGCAGTGAGTTGTGGGGTTAAGGCCTATGGGAGAATTGATGAGGGACGCACATGCATAACGCAATTGCATCTACGGCCGAATGAGATGCAGAGTTTTGCGTTTTCCTATGATTGTGGGATTATATCGCAATTGTTTTGGATGAATTTTCAGCATACGTGGGAATCAGAATGGGGTTTCCTCCCATTAAGCCTTAAGCGGGCTTTCTTGCTTGGGTTTTCTACCGCCAACATATTTTTAGTTTTGTTTTTATTATTTGATGTCTAAGTAGGGTTTATTTTATTGTGGAAGACTAAATATATATTGTATTTTCAAGTTTTGAGATTTTGATTTTCTATGTATTTTGGATATTGTGATCCTAGATTTCTGCTTTAAGGAGTGTTGTATCATCTTAATTTTGCAAGTGTCTATAGCTTGCCCATGACATGTGTAGCCTCCTCGCCGTTTGTACATCGTCGTTCGTGATTTTCTCCGTTGTTTTCAGTCATGATAATTGCCGAACTTCTTTTATTCTCTTCCAAATGTTGTCGATCTTGCATATTCTCATTCCCTAGCTATCCCCTAACCACCTCCCCGCTAGATACATGGGAGCCAAATAATGGTGTCATTTAGTATCGGAACTTGGCAGATTTAAATTTTTAGTGTTTTGTGTTTTCTACACTTAAACATAAAACAAATATAGTTTAGCCTTTATCAAAATGTCACCCCGACACCTAACACTAAGCACTCAACCAACCTTTGACCTGCAAAAAAAATTTCCCTATACCACCCACCTAACCTTAACCCTAACTCTGAACCGTCTTATACTTTTCCATCGCAACTCTTATTGGAAGAATAAGATGCTATGATGCAAGGGAGAAACCCTCAATGAAATGTTCAGAATATCACTATTGAGAATATGCAGCGAGAAATCCTTCGACTGCAATAAAGGTTTGCTGCTTTTGAGAAGAGGCAACCTGGTGAAGTCACTCATAACCACAATAGTGACTTGCTAGATTGAGAGGAGGAAGTGAATAACTTTCACCAAGAAGTTTCGAGTGACGAAGAGTTAATGCCGCATAGAGTTGGCATTGAATATCAGAGAAAAAAAAAATAAATGTAGATTTACCATACTTTGACAATCACATGAATACAAATGAATTATTGAGTGGCTCCAAATAGTGGAATAATTTTTTAGTATAAAGACGATCCCCATGACAAAATAGTTAAATTAACAACAATCAAGCTTAAGAAGAATGCTCTTATGTGGGTGAACCTGAAGCGTCTTCGTTTGCGAGAAGGGAAAAGTAAAGTTTTTACATGATCTGAAAAGGGAGATGCAACACCAATATCCTCTCTTCCAAATGTCGTTGATCTCGCATATTCTAGTTCCCTAGCTATCACCCTAACCACCTCTTCGCTAGATACATGGGATCCCTACAATGGTGCATTTAGTATTGGAACTTGGCAAATTTAAATTTCTAGGGTTTTGTGTTTTCTACACCTAAACTTAAAATTCATATAGCGTAACCTTTATCAAAAAGCCACCTCGACACCTACCACCAAAATTTTAAGCACTCAGCCAACCTTTGACTTGCAAAAAAAAAATTCCCCATACCACCCACCTAAACCTAACCCTAACTCTAAACTGCCTTTTACTTTTCCATCATAACTTTTATTGGAAGAATAAGATGCCATGATGCCAATGAGAAACCCTCAATGAAATGTTCAGAATATCACTATTGAGAATATGCAACGAGAAATCCTTCAACAATAATAAAGGTTTACTGCTTTTGAGAGGAGGCAACCTGATGAGGTCACTCATAACCACAATAGTGATTTGCTAGTTTTAGAGGAAGAAGTAAATACCTTCCACCAAGAAGTTTTGAGCGACGGAGAGTCAATGCCGCATTGATTTGGCATTGAATATCAGAGAAAACAATTAGGATATGGAATAAATGTAGATTTACCATATTTTGGCAGTCACATGGATGCAAATGAATTATTGAGTGGCTCCAAACAATGGAAAATTTTTTTTGAGCATAAAGACGATCCTCAGTTAAACTAAAAACAATCAAGCTTGGGAAGAATGCTTTCTTATGTGGGCAAAACTGAAGCGTCTTCGTTCGCGAGAAGGGAAGAGTAACTTTATTACATGATCTGAAAAGGGAGATGCAACACCAATTTCCCCCCTCTCTCCTCCCATATTATCGATATGATATGTCCATAAAACTCCATAACATGCACCAGAGATTTTTTGTGGAACATATCGTTGAATTTGATCAACTCATGCTGAAATACGAGTTACTAGAGGAGCACACAGTGGTGAGTTGTCTTAGAGGATTAGGGAGTTTTATTAGTAATTTGGTGCAACTGGAACCGTATTGGTCGCTACTTTATGTACATACCTTAGATTTGAAAGTGGAGAAAGATCTTCACAAAGTGACCATTACACCTTAAGAATAAAGTTCAACCCCAATC